TCTACTATGCGCACCACCGTACAGTATATAGATGACAAAAGACTGTAACGATAACAGAAAGAGGAAAATATAGAACAAGAATAGTCAATCGTAACTGGTAATACAGTCTATAATTACCAGTGTGTAATACAAACTGATAGTGGTCAGTAGGAAAAAAACTGTTAAACCTCGCCTTAGGGTCCACCTGCAGTGGACCTGCAGGACAACGCAGTGCCGAAGTTTTCACCCTCAACCTCTGCCTGTGCAGAACAAAATATTGTTTTGCTAACCTGCAAATTGGAACGCGGATAAATTTTATTTTGTCCCTGCGTGGTGACCGCGCAGGGTGGAAAATTATGCAGGTGATCCACTCTGATTAGGACACATTCGGCAGAGAACAGACCAGAGATCGAAACGGGTCGGTTCGGTTCAATGTAAAAAATATTGATTCGGATCGGGTCATTACAAAAAAGGCTATTACAAAAGCTGTAAGCTTCTGCTCTTTTTCCAGAAAAAATTTATTAGGTCATCTAAGAAAATTTTCGCGTCACTCGGGTCAAGTTTCGAAAATTTCGTACCACTTCGGGTCAGGCGTGTAAAAGAGCCTTCGCGTCGAGTCGGGTTCGGACCCACATAGAACATATTGATTCGGGTCGGGTTCGGGTCATCCATCTACGATCCGATTCGGTCTCTGGGACAGACATCATCTTCAGTATAATATGGTGTGTATAAATTATTTTCTTTCTAATTGTAGTATCGATACTTTCGTATCGAGTAGGTAAAAGAAACGTTTGTTGTACGAAAGCTTGATGCATCGATAGAGCACTGCTTAATAGCAACTTCTAATATTAAGGATATTTATTTTTTATTAAAAAATTCTTTTGTTTTTAAGTTTAGCTGGAAAAGAAGAACCAACGTCAACAACGACCACCAACATGACAAGTAATGCAGGACAATAAGAGTACCTGTTCTTCTTTTATATGGTAGCTTGAATCATTGTGTTGTAACATCCGATAAAACATTAATGATTTAACCTATTATTTTTTCTAGCTCTTCAAAAAAAATATTTTTCGAGAAAGTTTTGAGAGAATTTAGTCCTTTCTGTTTCATTACTGAAAGTCGATTGAATGATGTGCTGTTGTCGCTGAAGATCAAAGTATGACATGAGTAAAATATCCACTATGTCTAATTTTTTACTGTGAAAAGAACCAAACTAAGCTTAATATTTAGTGCACAAAAGTCTCTATTTTCTTTGACCATTTCTCTTTTAATTGTTTTGATACTCAAAAGTCAAATTTTCATTTATTTATCGAATTTAAAAAAATATCTAAAATTACATTATATTAACACCCCTAGTGGGAACGGACCCAGGTGTTTTACTTTATATATATTTCTCTGCACCATAGTGACTTTCATACGTTTAGTACAGCAAAATAACGAATAGAGAATAAGAATGAAAGCTACCATGCATCTCGTCGCAGTTTTACTACTGATCATTGGTATCGTCGAGTGTGAACAATCGGAAAGATTTTGCTTGATGTGTTGTGGTACTGCGCCCTGCTGTAATTGTTGTGGTATGGCAAATTGTGGTTTTAATTTCACCGGAATATTGGAGGCTTTATCAAGTTCAACTACACCATCGGTATTAGTAACAGCTACACCAACAACAATACAAATGAGCCCAGTAACTAAATCAACGACAGTCCCAACAATATGTTTAATGTGCTGTGGTCCTCCACCTTGTTGTAATACGTGCGGACTAAATTTGATTAATTCATAAAATAAGGACGAGAGACCAAATTGGGTCTTACCTGGATGACCCGAACCCGAACCGACCCAAAATTTTCAAAACTGGACCCGAATGACCCGAAAATTTTTTTTAGTTCACCTAACAATAACCCGAAACAGAAAACCGTTTGTCTCGCTTGTGTATTGTCATGAAGTCTAATCATCATAATGCGAGGTATATCTAAGTCGTTGGTTTTTTTTGATTTAGTTATGTTTCTCTTTTTTCTTTTCTTTGACACCAGCAAAATAATAAAAAAATGTAGTTACAACTAAACAAATATAAATCAATTTTTCGAAGAGCTATGTACTTATTTTGATGAAGTATAGTTAAATTCATTAGAAGCCATTTTTAACAAAAAAAGCAGTGTCTTCGACTAACTGTCTATCAATAAAGGTAAAAGAATTCAGTTACAGATATATCAAAAAACAATGCTGTATACGA